CCTCATCTTTCTGCTTCCTTAGCGTAACCTCTGCTTCCTCACCTACGGGGGCACTTGTTTTTTTCTGGCCCTCTCGGGTATACTGGACATCGGTTGCAGACACCAGCGCTAGGGCATGGCAAACCTCTCCCAGCCCTAGTTGAAGCACTATCGAGCGAGCCTTGTCGCACGGGCACTTCGGTCACCAAGCATGATCGTTCTGTGTCTTTTTTCCTAATGAGCACCGGCCCAGGTTTTTTGGTCAGACAGCGAATATTTCTTAGAGCCTTTCCCTAGGCAGTGTCTAGTGGTTCTACCCTGACCAAGGTCTTACCTGAGACAGCCCTTCTGACACAACCCGGGCGCCACGTTCCTAGCATAGCCTACTATTATTGCTGTATTAGGGGTTGTGTTATTGTTCATGCTGAGGGGGAAAGGTTATCGATTCCGTAACCCGCACCAATTCGCAGCAGGGCCGATTCCTGCCAGGGAAGACCTCCGGCCCATCCCCCCTTGCACCCTCAGTTGGTTATTATTAGTCCTGAGTTTATGATCCCAGGCCAGTCCAGAACCGAATGTTTCCACGGAGCCACCCTAGGCAATGTCTTACCTAAGACAACTCTAGACCAGTCTGGGCGCCTATTGGGATGATGTTTACAGTTGGTACGAGTGCCACTCTGGGCCAGCCCAGAACCGAATGTTTCCTCGGAGCCACCATAGGCAGCGTCTCTAAGCCAACTCTAGACCAACCTGTGTGCCACTCCAGGCTAGCCTGGAACCGATGTTTCCTCGGAGCCACCCTAGGCACTGTCTCACCTATGCCAACTCTAGACCGGCCAGAGTACCTATCGGGATTATTCCATGGTTGGATTATATGGTCCAGGCTAGTCCGGAACCGAATGTTTCCACGGAGCCACCGTAGGTAGTGTCAGTACCTAAGCCAACTCTAGAGTGGCCTGTGTGTCACTCCAAACTAGTCCGGAACCGAATGTTTCCTCGAAGCCACCCCAGGTACTGTCCTGCCTAAGCAAACTCTAGACCAGCCTGTGCACCTATCAGGTATAGACATGATTGAGCATAGTATGGAGGGGGCAGGGTTATCGGTCCGTAACCGTCACACCAGTTCGCCACAGGGCTGATTCCTGCCAGGGAAAACCTCCAGCCCATCCCCCCTTGCAACCCCCCAGTCAATTATGAGCTATGAGTTATTTGTTATGTGTTATGTGTAGTGGAGTAGAACCCGGGACCTCCAAGTTATGATATCAGAGCTCTACCTACTGAGCTATTGAGGTTATTAGTCTGTAAAGGTGCTATGCGAGGCTCGGGGCAAGTACGCGGGCAGACAAAGTCGAACCCGCAACCTCCCCATTGCAACACCAGAGCTCTGTCAACTGAGCTACCACGCCCTTGCCTTTACCAACTGGCTGTCTTGAAGGCAAGACGCCAAGCATGCCACAGGCACTATCGTGGGGCCAATGGGAGTTGAACCCACAACCTCCTGAGTGCTTGAACGCCTTACGAACTGAGCTACACCCAGACAGCGTCATCTCAACCTTTGCTACTCCCATGTGGGGCCGACTCTCGAACCTCTTTCTGCTCAGCCCTTTGCCCGTGAAGTCTTACCCCTCTTTTTTCTTCCTGATAGCGTCCTTTCTTTTCAGCTCCCCCTTTCCATATTCACCGATGAACGCAGAATGGTAATACCGATAATAGTAATCGAGCACCAAGTGGAATCCTCCCTCCCCTGTATCCGAGGTCCTGATTTCATCAATAGCAGCGATGTTTATGGTGTGCCCAATGGCCCGTCCCTGTGCCCAGGTAATGAAGAACAAGCCAGCCTCGTCCGTATTATTTTTATCCTTGCATACGGAATGAGTTGGTTTCCCCGCTGGAGTATCTTTAACGACAGTCCGGCGCTTGTCAATCCCCCATAAGGCTGGCCTGCCCCACACACCTCTATGCGCAACAAGAGCTCAAAGGACAATGCAGCAAAGCATGCGTGCTCTACTCCCTTGGGTTGGCATGACCATGACCCGTGCTTCGTCCAGCGCCCTTCAGAGGCACCGCCCTCTCCCACCATATGCGCCGCCAGGAAGAATGTCAGCTATCAAGTAGAGTGCTCACGACTCCTGAACCGGAAGAGGACTCTCAAGACGAACTCTCTTCCTCACGGTAAGAAGAGATTGAGATGGGAAGATAAGGTAAGGAACAAGGTACATGAAGATAGCTCCCCCAAGTACGGATTCTCACCAATTGAGCCGACGTGCATTTTGATGCCAGTCATAGCCTCGGTACCACACACAATGCAGTGCAGTGCCACCGCAGCCAAAATGCCATGTCAGCATGCCCTCATCATTCCACATACACCTGGTGTTGCCACAGCACATCAGCTGTCGCCACAGCCTTCCAGTCCCGCCCCCTCTACCCAGGAGGGACTCAATCTGCCAGCGTCAAAGTACCCTTACTGCAGAGAAGCTTTGTCAGTGCACCAAGTAACCAAGACACCAGCACCAGCATGGCGATATTTGAACCAGCTCTGATACAAAATTGCAAGGAAAATGAGCGAGAGCGATAGACAGGAAACTGAATTGCAATATCACACTGAAGTCCAGACAGTCGTGTACCAAGCAGAAAGCACAATGCACCGAGATTCAAGCCAAATAAGAGCAATACAATTAACTCAAATGTCAATGTTGACACTCTCTCGCCACACCAACATGGTATCCAATGTCGCTCTTCTTGATTGGCGCGCAGCGCCCAGTCCATCCTACTCAGCACCTATCTAGCCTAGACTACTATATGCAACAGGAGTCACTTCAAGCTGAAGACCAATGTCCATCCTACTCAGCACCTATCTAGCCTAGACTACTATATGCAGCAGGAGTCACTTCAAGCTGAAGATCAATGTACATGACGACATCACGTGTCCCTTCTCGTATCTCCTCACCGGTATCCCCACAGTCTGCTCCCCCTTCACCCGAAGACCACCATCGCTATCACCGGCATGCGCCCATGCAGCCTGGCTCAAGCCAGCACTCCAGTGCAGCAGCGTGGCTACGTGCTAGCGCACTGCCAAACCAAAATGTGCCTCTGCTGGGTGCGTGTGCCCAGTAGCTTCATGTTGGACCAAAGTGTCTGCACCCAGGCCCATTCAGACAGTGGCCTGGGCTCGCAGCAGTTAAGCTGCCCAACTGTGCAACATGGCTGCTGTCACTCGCTGCATTCTCATTGGCCCACGGGCCTCCAGCCACGTCACTGCCTTGCTTCCCATTGGCCACGTCACAGGTGGAGTGATCCCAGAGGCTCAGCATGTTGTGCTCACACAGGTGTGGCCTTGTAACCAATTGGCGCGTGGTAACTGTCTGGTGCCCCACAATGCAGAAACAAACCAACGACCTCGTGGCTGAATGCAGGCCTGCCTCCACTTAGGGCGGGCACGAGGCTTGCTGGTGGGTAGAGGGGCAGTCGGGTGTCTGACCAAAAGGCCCTTGCGAGGGCTCAATCCTTGCATAAGCTATATTCTTCTCTCAATTTCACCTTTCACTATCTACCTACCACTACTCCTAAGCCGATACAGGGGACCGCTGTAAGCATAGTTACCTCTTACAATTAAGGGGATGTTGCCTCCCGCCGCGATCGGAGGTGGTCAGGGAGTAGGGTGGGCCCACCCCCGGTGGGGGGGGGCGGCTAGCTCAAAGACCGAGCATTTTGCCAGCGGCTGCACCTCCCATCTACTTCCCCCACCCCCCATCGAGTAGCAGTACTCAAAATCGCATGCCCTGAATTCACAATAATCCAAAACGATTTTATGAATTCAGGGCATATGTGGCATACAATTATGAGCTCGCAATCGTATGCCCTGAATTCATAAAATCGTTTTGGACTGTTATGAATGCAGGGCATATGATTTCGAGGTGCTTCTCATCCAAACGTTGCTCAAAATAAAGTTTCATGTCATGTAGGCATAGCATGGCCGCATAGTGAGCCCTGTAGTTTTACATCACATAGGCATAGCCTGGCTGCATAGTGATGGCCGTGACCACTGCCTCTCTAAAGCTGACTGGTGATCTAACTACTGCGGGGAGCTAGAGAGAGTCACGTTTGTATTGCATTTAGAACTGTCTGATAAAGTGGTGGCAGGATGGGAGAAACGAACAAGGGATGGGTGAATGTGACAAGAATGCTCTTCCAAGTTTCACCAGCTCATTAGGAGGGTGAACCCTCGACAGTCTGCAAAGTCCCCTAACAGACAATACTGTAAGTAACAATCCATATATAGACATAGCCTGGCTGCATAGTGATGGCCGTGACCACTGCCTCTCTAAACCTGACTGGTGAACCATTGCAGGGAGCTACCATCTTCACCCCAAATTAATGCCCGAGCGGGTCTTGTATTCGTTTATAACAGGCATTATATTCAGTAAATTGGTGGCAACTTCGGTGGTGCCCGAAGTCTTCCTTCCCCCCCCCCCAAAAAAAAAGAAAACAAAAATTCCTTAAAAAAATGTTGTCTAGAATTGCAATGCAACCAACTTTTGGCTGAGGGTCACTTCAGAATTCCTTATAAAATTCGGAAATAAAAAAAGGAAACAAAAAAGCAAACCAAGACATACCCCTTGAAGTCAAAACCCCTTTGAACCCCCTTTAAAACACATGTATATCCTCTTGCCTCCCTTTAAAACCGACATATACTCCATCTACAAAGCACTCTGCTCATGGAACATTCAAATGTAACGCCCGGGTGTTCTATTTGAAAGAGTCTCTTCCGAGTTTCACTGGCTCATTAGGAGGGTGAACCCTCAACATTCTGCAGAGTCCCCTAACAGATGATACTGTAAGTGAACCCCAGGTGGCTTACCGAAAATGTGAGAAAACTAGCACATTTCTATGTGGCTGAATGTTACAGAACAGGTTTTGAGTTCAAATCCTGAGGGATCCAATAATGTGAGGGGCTACCCTGTTTTAGAAAGAATCGAGAAAGTAACACATCTCTGTGGCTTCTGTCTTTCCTTGCATCACAGATATGTTCCATTTGGGACAGCTGGGCTTTCTGGCATGCAGGATGGAAGGCAACCACTTCGGTCCAAGTCAGCGTCATTTCTCAGCATGCTGGATGAATCATTTGGGAGAACGCTCACTGGTGTGAGCAACAACGTGCTGATTGGAGTCCACAAGCTCTGTGCTGGTGGTGAAGAGTTAATCGAGGCAAGTAAGGCTTTGTCCTCCTACTTTCCCTCACGGTCAGTTAGTTGGCCAGCATATGTTACAGCAGTGGATTATGAACCATTTGGAAGTTCTGACAGTGAAAGGTGCCAAAAGCCCAAAAGCTCACTCTTTCCCTCACAGTCCATTGGCCGGCATAAGTTATCACAGTGGATTACAGACTATTACAGACGATTGACTGTGAAAGCTGCCCAAAAAGCCCATAAACCCAAAAGGCAAAAAAGCCTGAGGGGATCATGCATGAAATTGCCAGCCCCAAAGGGTGCCATCTGCACAAGTACGGAGTTGTTTTTTCTTGTGGAGCAGAGTTCAGTATGCATCAACCCCCTACAATATGCCTAAGTGGGCTGCAATTGGCACTGCATGCAAAGCCAGGCGTTCTTCAGTCCTATGTGTTCGTTATGGCTGTGGGATCGAAATACCAGCAGCCTGCTTTTAAAATTTTTGATTTGCAATGGACATTCTAAGCAATGCTGTCTCAGGAACACAATGTTCCAAAACTGTTATCTTCTTTTTCTGAGGATCCTTCAATGTGTTTGCAGTTCGATTCATGTTCAATTGATGGTGCATCCCCAGTTGCTGGATATGTTTTGGGAGGTGGTCAGAAACTCGCAATTTGTTGAGCTGTTGGCCGGCAAATGAGGATCACAGGGAAGCTAATAACTATCTGAAAGACCTGAAAAGACGGGGCTGAATGATACACACGGAATTGTTACTAAACTGTTTGTGACTGCATATGCCTGGAATCGTGAGGACAGAAATAAGGCACACATGTACACCTTGGCCTCAGTTTTTGCTGCGAGTAAGTGCAAAAATCTGAGATGAGAGAGAGAGAGAGAGA